CGCTGCGCAGGGAGCGGAGCGAAGCGGAGGAGGCGGAGAAGGGCAGGATGAAGAGGACGATGTGAGTGCCCCCCCGGGGGTCCCTCCAGGGAGCGGGTCCCGGGCGGGGGGAGCGGGCTGTGTCTCGGCTAGCATTAGCCATTGGCCAGCAGGCAGATCTGCCCGTTTAAGCCAGGGGAAAAGAGTTTTCTTGTCCTCAGAGAGGTGCTTTGGGTGACCGAGTACAGAGCTGGAAAAGCACCGTCAGGAGTACTTTTGCAGCTTTGGCCGAGAAGGGGGCTGGTGTCTAAAGCATTTTGGTCCTAAGCATGCTGCTTCTCTGTTCTTCCAGCATTAAAGATTGGAAAACGAGGCTGAGCTACTTCCTGCAGAACTCTTCCAATTCTACTAAAATGAAATCTAAGAAAGTGGGAAAACACCGCACCTACTTCAGGTAAGTTATCAGCAAGAGACTTTGTTTAAATAACTCAAGTGTTCTGCAAAAACAATAAAACTTGAGCAATGGAGTCCAATGTTCTCCATCTCTTTCTGCAGACCTTCCCCTGAAGAAGCCCAGCTGTGGTCAGAAGCCTTTGATGAACTTCTTGCTAATAAATGTAAGTTTCTCTTCAAAAGTAACATTCAAGAGCAAAGGGATGGTGAAGTTCATATGTCTGTAAGAGATTGCTTCCTTGCATGTCAGCATTGTACCTTCCTTAGCTTTAATTCTGGTTTTGAAAGTTAAATGCTTTGAACTGTTTAAAGCCAAAATTCACAGAAGTGTTCTTTTAAAAAATTATAAACTAATATTAAAACATCAAGAATACTACATTGTAGTTTAACTTTTTCTGGAACCCCCATAGTTTAAAATCATACCTGGCAGCTTAGCTTTGCCGAATGTGAAAAGAGCATTTGTTCACTGAGCTCACTGCTGCATTCAGATAACTTGGGAAGGATTCTGCAGCACAGAAGTTGAATGATCTCAGGGTTTTACTGCAGCTCTACAAGGAAAAGCACTCACCAGCAGAGCAAAAAGACTAGGAAATAATATTACCATTTGCTCTTTGACCTTGCGTCATCCTTTCCGTTGCAAAAAATATTCCAGAGTTTGTAACACAGTCATAAATATTTACTCCAGTGTAAAGGTTAACACAGGAGATCCCATCTAGAGGGAGGGGTTTTTTAAATATATATGCAGACATCACAAGAGGGAACAGACTGACTAGAAATGGCTTTTTTTTTTTGTGTTTGCTTAAAAAATTACTAACTCAAAGTAAAGCCTGCCAAGCTGTTAATTTGTTTGCATGTGTAAATGTGAAATTTTTTAATTGCTATGACATCCCTGAAAGAACCAGACCTATAGCAAAATGTTTTGGTAGAAACAGATGTGACCAGTGGGTAAATTCAAGATTCCTGAAATAGGCAATTGATGGATATTTTTTTTTGTCTTGCTGCTTTCCGAGCTTTTCTGAAATCAGAGTTCTGCGAAGAGAACATCGAGTTCTGGCTGGCCTGTGAGGACTTCAAGAAAACCAAATCACCCCAGAAGCTGACATCGAAAGCAAAAAAAATCTACAATGACTTCATTGAGAAGGAGGCTCCAAAAGAGGTAAAGAAAACCTATTTAAAGATAACTGCCCTGCTCTTAGTTCTTCAAGCCCTTCTTTATTTCTTTGACCTCACTTCCAGATAGATGCCAAAACTGTATCCTACATACCTCGCTGTTAATATCTGTGTCTGAACATAACTCTCTTCCCTAACTGCCTTTCACCAAGCTGGAAAATGGCACAAGCAGTATTTTAGAGTTTGTCTTAACTGACAAAAGTCAACAGCCACATCTCACACCTGTCGTGTATTGGAGCGCAGTCCTGAAAGACAGTATCATCTGAATTACTCTGGGTTTTATATTAAAGAGTCATTTTCTTCAAGGAAATGCCATTAACTTAACCCTGTGGTGATAGGGTCTTGCCTTTTTACCTCTTCAGAACTGTTATGGTGTGTTATACTTACTTGAATTCCGTTCTCAGAAGTAAGCATCCTTTTTTTTGTTTTTCAGATAAACATAGACTTCCAAACCAAGAACATGATCGCGCAGAATATTCAGGAAGCCACGCATACCTGCTTCAGCGCGGCGCAGAAGAGGGTTTACAGCTTAATGGAGAATAACTCATACCCACGGTTTTTGGAATCTGAATTCTACCAGGAGCTGTGCAAGAAGACGCCTATCAGCAGAGCAGCCCAGGGGACATGAGCGATGCAGAGGAGCGAGGAGAAGCCTCTTGGCTAGTGAGGACATGAGCCACAGCTCACGGCAGCATCCTGACCTGACAGGCTGAGATAGCAGGCGCTCAGTCTCTTTGCCATGGTGCAAGGACAAACACTGACTCTGGTGCAGAGCTGATGGCAAAGCGTGGTACTGTTGGCAGGCGTTCAGAGGTGACACAGCAGTCTGCCAGCCGGCTGCTGGCAATGTGCTTCTCTGGGGGTGCTGCAGCGAAAGGTGACTGTGTGTTAGAGCAGCCTGTGCAGCACAGGAGTCCTGCTGGCACAGGGGCGCAGCAGGGCTGGACAGAGCTGCCTTCTCGCAGACAGAAGCTGCTCTGTATGGTTGCAAAGTGCTGGGAACTTGAGTAATCGGTTGCGTATTTATTTTTCCTAACCAAGAGCCAGTGTTGCTGTCATCGGTCACCCTGTGTGTTCACGCTGGTTCTGCAAACAGCCTGGAGCTGCAGAGGGACGTGGTGGGGTTCTGTGCGACTTCCAGACAGTCACAGCACTGTGCAGGCTGCAGTGAGGCAGGGACAGAACTTGGTTCCCAGAGGAGAAGGTTCTGCAGCTCAAGCGTGCAGGGCTGGCTTGTGTCAGCAGGGCTGCATGAGGCTGGACTGAGGGCAAAACGTGGCCGAGGCGAAGAGGGAGCTGCACAGTATTATATTTATATGTGGATTGTGATTGTGTTCAATGCTGCAATAATGGCATCATTCTGTCTCAAGGACAGCAAGCTTCAATGAAGTCTCTTATTGTTTTTAATAAACTATTTTGATACAAAGCTGCTTTTGGTGCTCAACTTATTTTGCACACACAGATACTCACTGTCTGGCACTGAACTCTGGAGTTTGGGGATGGTGTGTCCTGGGTGCGATCTTAACAGGGCTCATTTTAAAGCAGTTAGTTCTTCATGTACTGGGCAAGTGTTTTGTTGGGGTTTTTTTTAACAGAATAAAAATCCTCAGAGCTTGAAAGCTTAACAGAGGAGGCATATTCCATCACATCCTGTCTTAACCATGTCCCTGTGAAACCAGTCTAAGATGGGGCAAGGCACACACGTGGCTACACATGGTGACAGATCAACTAGAAAGCAGCAGTAGTGCTGCCGGAGTCTCAGGATGCTGTTTGGAACTCAGCACCGTTGCTCCTGCTCCAGACCTCTGCTTCAAAAAGGGGTTTAGGAGGGCTTTAATATCGGGCTGTAAAACCCATCCAGAACACTGGAGGCAATATTAGAACAGAAGGATCCAACCCACTGCTAGGTGAGTGCTGCTCAGGGGGAAAGGCATCGGTCATCCTTATTCCAGGTCAGTTTCCTTAACCGACAACATCCAAAACCACTACTTCCCAAACAGTCCCTAATTTGTTATTTTTGTGACTTGTCTGCACGCTAGGTCTCTGTAGGTGCTGGCTCCAGCTATTTTGACCTCAACACCTCAGGTGTTAATTGTTTAGTTCACATATGTCCACAGCAACCACTTCTATAATGGTCCGCTTCTCCAATCATCAAGAAAATTCTAACGACAGGATTTTCCACTTCAAATACACATCCAAAGATTGTTCAAAAGCAACTACTTTATGCATGTGTGTACATATTGCAGGACATATAGTGGTGTCTATATATACATACACACAGATATGCATATCCATTTACTGCCTCTGTACATGGAAAGAGCCCCCACTCTGATATAGCCCCATTTCTGGGGCTGTGAGAGCTGGCTCTCATACACCCAAGTTTGCTGATCAGTTAAGTCCACAAAATACAAGCACAATAAAAACTCAGCCCAATAATTTACTGCAACAGAGAAAGTTTTTTCTCTAAAACAGGAAAAACTGATTTGAGCTTATAATTGCATTTGTGATCTAACAAAATCTTCTGACGACCATAAAAATAGCCAGAACTATAGCTATTAATGACTCGGAGTCAGGGCAGGAGTAATTCCATGAAGCTTCTTTAGCTTCAGTGAAGCTTCATTAATCTATGCCAATTTGGGATGCGGTAATTAACCACTGCTGGTGCCTGGTTTCAGGGAAAGAAACATTTCTAGTTTCAGCAGGTGCCAGAACTACTTATAGCACAGTATGCAGTTCAGAGGAGAAATTAGGTGGGGCCATTAGGCAGGGCATCACCGCCTGAGGGCTGTTCTTGTATATTTTTAAGATTTGAATCATGAACTGTATCTGTGTAGGCAGCTCCATAGCTTCCCCAGAGCATGCCACCAGGGTGGCAAGCCAACCAAGACGCACTGAGTCCCTGGCGGGGTCTGTCCCTGGTTTCAAGGCTAAGCTTTGCAGCAAAACAGTTTGGTGTATCAACCAAAAAAAAAAAAAAAACCCCAGAAAACTTCTTTGTAGTAAAATGCAACACATCTGTGCATGCAACGTGCCTTCCAATTACTGCTTTTCCAGTCTTTGTTAAGAGCCCTGTTTCTCCAACTCCCAAAGGTAAGCTTCACCAGGAAAAGGGCACTGCAGGCGTGTTGGGAGCGTTCCAACCCTAAAGATTGCTATGAACAGTTCCTGGAGAAAGATAAAACCACCGATTGCTTTAAGAGATGCTGGGTCTGTACTCTGGGCAGCCTTACAGCTGTGGTTCCAACTGATGCTCTGCTATCAGCATCCTATGGCACCAAACAATGAACTGCTCATTCCTCCGCAGCCCAGCTGACCAGTTCACCCTCCCACCAGGCTGCACACAAGCAAACTTTCCACGGTGCTGGGGAAAAGACCAGTCTGGGACTGGCAAAGGGAGGGCAGCAGAGCTGGGGTCCCACAGGAGAAGCTGGGGGCACTGCTCAGCAGCTGCCCAGAGCATGGTCCTTTTTTTGGCTTCCATCAGGTTATAAACGTGCTCCAGCCCACATCCCTGCTGACAGCCACCAGGCAGGGAAATACGAAGAGATGCCGATGGGTAGCTGTGTTCCAGGAACCATAGCTGCAAAGGAGCAGGGGTCCTGGACAAGTCTGTAAGCAAGCTTAACGGTTTTAGAGAAAAGACCTGCTGCAAAGAGCTGAGGGGAGGGAGAAGCCGGCACCTCCAGCGGGCGGTGGGCAGGAGGGCACCGCAGCTCTGCTGGCACGGCCGGCAGCTGCACAGCCAGTCCTGGCTGATCCCGAGAAAGCCCATGGCAGTCCATGCACTGCTGACATAACTGATGTGGGCAGGTAGAGCCTGGGGATCTGGAACGGTTGAAAAACACCAGCAAATCTGCAATAAAGGAGACTTTTAACTGTCCATGTATCACTGGTTTTAAACCAATCTCACAACATTTATTTGGTGCTTCTCTTATCCGCTAGAGGCAAGTGATCCCCCTGCTTTCATATCACAAAAAATACATTTCTCACCCTTATAATTATGAAGAAAAAATTGAAATTGTAACTGGAGTATCCTCAGTAATTCCCAGAACCAGAATTTAATGCAAAGCCTATGCAGTCATTTAAAAAAAAAATAATAATCTAACTTTGTACATCAGTCTTGTGACTTTGTGAAACTAGGTCATGAGTGTCAACTGCCTGGATCCAGGAACAGCCTGGGTTTGTCAATGGCTTGTGCTGACACTGCAGCATGGGGCAAGCTGAAGGAGAGCCCTCTGTGCTATCAAGAGGGCAACACACAATCTCCTCAGAGCCTGCACCACAGCAGCTGACCCTCGGGCGAGTGCTCTCTGGCCCAAGGGCTGGAGAGGAGCTCCGAGAGCAGGGGCAGCCCGGCAGCAGCGCTGGTCACCGCTCCCGCCAAAGCGAACAAACTGGAGCGCAGTGCTCTTGCTCCATGTGTTTGTGTATGGTGGCTGAAAAATGCGCCGAGACTAAAAATAAAATCTGCATTTCCACTTGAAATTCCAGATCTCCGTCTGGAGAAGGGGACACTGATGACGGTTTAAAGGGCTTTACAGGCACACATCTGTGTGTGGAAGTGTTCTTTGGATGAGACTTCATAACTTGGCAACTCGCATGGAGCAGAACAGTGACCTTTAGAAGTAGTTTTAGGATCTTCATGGATTTTTTTTTTTTTTTGGTGGGGGGGTTGAAAATTTGACTTGCTGTGATTCAAGCAGGAAAAACTGGTTGAAACCTGGGGAAGCATCCACATCCATCTTCCTTCAGGTGGCAAAACATTACCAATGGCTCCTTCCCATCCCACCAGCACAGCAATGTCCCAATGGCTCCTTCTCATCTCACCAGCACAGCAATGTCCCAACCAGCTGATGAGTAAGGTGGCAAAACATTACCAATGGCTCCTTCTCATCCCACCAGCACAGCAATGTCCCAACCAGCTCATGAGTGCCAGGAACAAACTTCCAGGTGACACTGCTACACCAGCCCAGGGTCCACCCCAGAGACCCACCAGCAGCAGAGCTGGTGATAGACCTACCTGCAACACTGGTCCTTGGTCCATCCAGGGAAGAGAGCCAGGCATGAGGATGCAATGCCAGCACAGCACAGGGGAAGGGCCAGGTCCTCAAGGCTGAGCTGAAATGGAGCCTGGCTGATGGGCAGCAGGTATGGTGGGGCCAGCTGGGGCTGCTCAGGGCCATCGTTAGGGCCATTAGGACCCCAGGGCCCTGGTGGAAATCTGAAGGAGCCCTTTTAGTACAGTTTGTCAGCTCATGGCCCCAGTGCAGTCTGAATTTCTGAGGAGGGTCTGCAGTTGGGTTTGTGGTAAATGCCCTCAGGAATACCCTGAGTGGTTCTGTACCCGTGCTAACGGGCATCACCCTGAGCAGTTCTGTACCCGTCCTAACAGGCATCACCCTGAGTGCTGTCACTGGGACGTGATGGCTGGCAAGCACGGAAACCAGGAGAAATCGCCTCACTGTTATCCTAGGTAGGAGTTCAAAATCTGAGTCCTTTGGCAATTTTTCATTAAAATAATAATTTAGATCAGAGTTTCCAACACCTGCAAAGTGCCCCTGAGAAGCAAGTAAATGATGTTCCACTAAAAATATTAAATATTCCATTTGAGCTAGTCTGATTGACAGA